TACAGCGTGTCACCCACACCCACACCCACACCCACACCCACACCCACACCCACACCCACACCCATACTGGCAACACCAAAAATTGTTGGGACTAGGGTACCACACGACACTTCCGCTGTTTGGGTCAAGGCTGCCGCGTAACTCTGGCAATGGTTAGGGCAAGGCTACCCCCATTACTGGCAGTTCAACCTAGTGGCATAATGGTTCGGTGCAAAATTTACACAGGTTGGGCCAAGGTTACCCCGCACCTTTTGCAAGACTTGGGCCAAGCCTACCCCCATTACTAGCAATTCAACCTGGTGGCATAACAATTTGGCGCAAAATTTGCATAGGTTGGGCCCACGTAACCGCGCCACTTTTGTAGTGCTTTGGCCAAGGATACCCCTATTCCTGACAATTTATCGTGACGGCACAACGGTTTGGTGCAAATTTTGCATTGCTTGGACGTGCAGTACCACGCAATAGTTGCACTGGATGGGCTGAGTGTTCCCCGCTATACGAGCACTTGATGAGTCAAAGGTATTTGCTAATACTAGCATTTGAGGACCGAACGGTATCTCCAATGGTGGGACTTGTCGACACAAGGGTACCCCCAATAGTTGTTCTTGAGGACCAAGGCTATGAGATTAATGATGCTAGGTAGTGGCCAGAATGTTAGCTGCGTTCCCTGGTAACTGGGAACGGGGCGTTACCGTTCCCGAGGAACTGGGAGCTGTAATGTTCCCAGTTCTCCGGGAACTGTAAAGAAAAAAGTTCCCAGCTACCCGGGAACTGAGAACTTTTTCGTTACCTTTACCGTTCCCAGGAACGGTGTGGGAATGATAACTTCCGACCCCTACTTGAGAGAGACCAATAAAAATTGATGTATAATTTAGAAACCCCATTCATCAAATACTGCGCTATCGATCTCACTTACAATTTCAATAATTTAAGTCAGAATCCGAAGAACTCGAATTGTAAAGTACGGCACTTCTATTTTAGATATACTATCCTCGCTACCGCTTTCTGTTGAACAAAAAAATGATATTTCCCACCAACAATCCAACAGACTCAAAGTAACTCCGCAATGTTCATCTCTGCAGATTATCCCATCCACTCTCAAATAAAATTAATTTAAATACTTCCGCTCCCTTCCCTAGTCCTGCACGTACCATCACCATATCATGAGTCCTACGATCTCAGGACCGCTCTATTGGAGTAAACTGCTTTGACTAATGTTACCATCAATTGCTCAAAAACATTATACATCTTCGAAAAGAGAAATTCTCTATTAAATAACGGCTAAATCGTTGGCTCAACTCATCTCCGTCCGGGTAAAATCTCGGTTGGAACATTATCTATCACGAGATTTCAGCGGTTTTGTGACCTGGAAAAATGCCATGAATCGCTCATTGCATCGATTGCCCGAAATGAGCTACAAATTAACAGATAGTGAACTTAATTCTCTATCTAGTGGTGTGAATATTATTCTAAGCAGTCATCTTCTCTCTGGCAAAAACTGTCCAGGAGCATGATCTCCCATAAGATTACAGAGGCTTTTCATCAGAAAAGAGGCCATGAAGTTCGTGTCTCAAGTATTGCCCGATAATAAGCTACATACTATGAGATTGAGAATTTGATTCTCTATTAAACGGTTGGTAATGGATTGTCTGAAATCCTTTTCTGCCTAGTAAAACCTGCGCTCGAATATCATCGAGAAAGTTAGTTCAGCGATTGTTGACTTAGCAAAAGCTCACGAAGTGGCAATAACATCCATTTTCCGAGCATAAATCGCAGATCTTCGCATAGAGAATTCGATTCTGTCGAATGCTGGGTAAGTTATTGTCCTGTCTCCTTTTCTTCGTAGAAATATCCTCATAAGAACATCATCAAGGAAGGGATTTCAGAGATGACAGACATAGAAAAAGTCCATCAGGTGCCAATCCCATGAAGTGCTCCAAAGTGAGCTACATAACGTCCGACAAAGATTCTAGTTCTCTATCGATTAGTGGTAGAATTATTGTCCAGACCCATTGTCTTCGTAGGAAAATCTGGGTTTCAAGTTCATCTAGGAAGAGAGTTCAGACACTTTTCACCTAGAAAAGCTCCTGAAATGCCAATTCCATTCACTGCCCGAAAGTGAGCTAAACATCATCGGACAGAGAATTCGATTGACTATCGAATGGTGAGTAAATTATTGTCCGGACTCATTTTCATTGTAGTAAAATCTGGGTTGGAACAGAATATATGCAGAGTTTTCAGGAAGTTTAGGCCTAAAAAGAGCGTATGAGTTTGGAGTTTCACCATTACCCGAGAAGAAGCGACATTGTTCATTTATATTGCATATCTTTGTTGTCAAATAAATTTCTAGACGAAAAGACAAAGAAAGTCTCCGAACTTATGTTCTAATCCAATAATTATTTTGATCAATAACACTCAATTTTTGCGACACACTTGAACAATTTAGCCAGTCATAGTAAAGATATACTTCCAATAAGTAGTTTTGTCAGGTCATTCTTTTTTACACACAACAAAATATACAAAGAAGTACTATAGCATAACAAGGCACTACATATGCTAGTGTAGTGAATGAGAATAACAGTAATCGTGAGGAACTATTCATTAATCTCTTACAAGCTAAATTAAGAGAAGCATCAACTGATTTTTTTTATTGGAACCCGTTACTCATCTCATATTGATAATATTTCAGACATCTTCGACTTTACAATATAATAAGTTATAATGTATGAATTTGTTAATTTTATTTCTGTTTTCAATTTTCACTGGCATGACTCAATGTTCTTTTGTTAGATTAATATGTATATACATATAAGTTGCGATTTAGGAAATCATTTTTAAAACTACATTGATCAATCTACAGAATATTCTGGAGAAACGAGACTGGCTTGTTAAATGAATTCATTTTCTATACGTTTCTTGATTGTCTTACTAATCATTTAATCAGCAACTATGAAAGAACAATACTGTCATAGAAAAATGAGGGCGATGCGAAACAATATATAAGCCGTTCGAATTTCTATTTTTTTATTCACAGTTTCCCTTTCACTAGCATGACTTCAAAGAGGATAACATTGGCTAGCAAGATACAATGAAAACAAATGAAAACCTACTTGTCAATATAATTTTTACAAGAGTCACTCACTTGAATTAATCGAAAAGAAAACGATCATTCGAGTATTTTATGATATTTTTCGGGTTTCTTTCTATATAAGTTTGAGTTAAGTTGAAGTTAACGGTGGTCGCTTTCGTAGTATAACTAAAAGATGATTGTTATATTTCGGATTATTTCCTTTTAAACAACCATGTCTCTCTACATATATAAGTGTATTAGTTTTAGATATCGAAAAAAAGTAAGGCATGCATCCATTTAATACACCACAAAGTCATGACTCATCGGCAACACCGATAGAAAATCGATATTTTATTATTACTATAACAAACTATCCAAATTTATTGCAGCGCACACAACAATATCAACAGTCACCCAATCAGGCAAGGAATCAGCTCTTTTGTTTGAAGTGTTTTGATGTTATGTTTAGCAAAGGGAACAGCGACTTCGAGGTGGCATGTTGATACCACATACACGAACCCATTTCGGAATCGCTCAGACAGAAGAGCATGAAGAGATTCTGTATAACACATTGCAATTCGAATTAGAAGAATCAGTTCGAGCATATCTTCATCGAACTCAGCGATCATATCCAATTAATTTGGTTCTCGATTTATCGAATATAGACCAGCAGCGATCATAGATTGATTGACTGTTTTATTTTAGCCTATTAGCTGTTAATTTTTGTTTTTGTTACTATGTTTTTTGGGTGTTTCTATGTATATATCAGTGTTGTGAAAGCACAATTCTCTGGTTTAGAGATCGAATCTGAAAGTTCATAGAATTCCATACGATATTGTGGAAACATCACTTTATTTTATTTAGTGCTATATTTTATTGTAGATTTAACACATTCATTGAAAATAATTAATCGTGTATGACACGCAGTTCAGAAGATTCGAACGAAATTTTTTTGAATATATTCAATGACGATGATAAAAACATACTGATAATTGTTCAAATAATACCAGTGTATGTTAAGTTGACCCTATGGACTAATTTAATCTTACTCTATGATAAATACCCTAGACAAGTAATACGAATCACGAGCCATTCCTATTTATGATGCATAATCATTCTAGGCAGTCTCGAATTTTGAACAAATGACCAAGAAATATATTACAACAAGTAATTCCTGTAATGAAAATATTAGGTATATAACTTATATTATCATTTATTGTAGAGTGAAGAAAAACAACAGCAACAAGAATTAAAATCTGTAACGACCGATCCAGCTATGTCATCAGGAGTAAACTTGAAGAACAAGGCACACCACTCGATGAGCAATTCATTGTCGAATTACGGCAATTGATAGATGAATCATGCTGCATACAACGTGACCATTGGCAAAGAAATATTTTCTACACCTTCCTGATCAAAAGCCATTTCGTTCGCAAAGGAAAAGTAAAATTTACCTAAAATATTCTGTTGTGCTTCTGAATTGCGTTATCAAAAGAAATATTTTTCTAACACATATAAGTAGCGATATGTATATGTATAGAATAGTTATTGAGAAGAAAGCTTATTGAAGAGGCAAAATTTCTTTTTTTCCTATACATAGGTCTCCTTTATTTCAGATATAAGTAATATTTTGTCTTCTGCATCTATCAATGGCTGATGGAAACGACCTTTTCAAGTCAACAATTAACCAAAAAACATTGAATCATATGAAACCGTACAATGATATTTTTGACCTTATGGATGACATCAATGATGAGCTTCAATTTACAGCAGAAGAATTAAATCGTTACTTCCTATTAGGTCATTTAAAGCAGACTATAAACGAAGATGAATATATGGAAACGGAGAGTCTCAGTAATCCTTGTCATATTCAAGTAATGCTACTTCTGATAGGGATAAGGAATACTGGAAATAACTACTATTGTCTATAATACTTGATTTAGAACATCGAAAATGATGAAGAAGAAGAACAACAGCATCAAGATGGCGAAGCCATTTTATCAGAAAAAATGAGTCAGTTATCCACGAAAAGTGGAAATGAAACTGAAACAATGTCTGCTACGGTTAAAAGAAGAAGATTAAATAGCTCAAATACAAGTTCAGAGAAAATGAAAATATCATATGATGATGAATCCGAAGAGGAAGTAAATGACTTTTTTGGAAAAGAATATGAAGTGCCAAAATATTTACTAATTAGCCATAAATCTTTTACTCGTATGGCTCAACATATTCGAAAAACAAATGATTCAGTTACTGTGAATGATATACATGAATTGGTAGTATTTATGTACCATATTGGAACTTTACATATCAAGAAACAAATTACAGAAGCCTATTTGAAATCAGTTACAGGTACTTTACAAGAACCAGATCATGATTTCGTTGAAGTTGATTGCCGAGTATTACCGAATCAAGTCAAATTACTTATGTTAAAAAAAGGCAAATTACTACCAATGGCGTCTGATACAGCTTCGACTATAATGGAAGCAAACACAGAATACGAAAAATTTCTTCATCAATATATACAAGAAATCACCCAGCATATTGAATACATTCAGCAAAAATACAATGACAAGAAGACCTCTTTAATTGGCTTAACACCGACCATCGAACACTCTGTCCATATCTATGTCAAAGAATATGCCATTAAACCATATGAATTGAAACGTAATGTGATTATAGCAAAGATAACATATAATTATGAATTAGAAATACTTAAACGAAAATATTTAGAAGAGAAACCAAATCAGTATCAAGTAGGAAAAGAAAGGCTTCTTCTATATCAAATAAACATTGCTTATATTTATTTATTATCGGTGTCTAGATTGAAACTGCACAGCGTCTTATTGATCGAAAATGTCAACTTGAAAAATCAAAAAGATTATTAATGGAATTGAAGCAAGGCGTCTTCTTTCATAAATCATTTATATCTTTCGATGCTCTTAAACTAGAAATACCAATGTTGCCAAATAGTATACCAGCGAATGATAAAATTGAACAACAATTTTCAAATAAACATGAAAAACTGATTGATTATAAGAAACTTGATTCATTAGCTATACATGTATTGGAAGCTGAAATGGCGTACTTACGATGTCAAAATATATTCGATTCTGAACTATCTAAAATGTGGACAAATCATCGTAACTTAGTTAAAAATCAAGCAATGACTACAACATTAATTCGTTTGCTTCAAAAACGGTTGGATAACGTAAGTAATCGATGTAGAGATGTCTACAATTATAGAATCGATCATTTTCTTCAAAATTCTTATGATGAACTGGATTATTCAGTAACAGACAACAAAGAAGAAGCGTTGAAAAGAATTGGCTTTTCATACTCTCTTATCATTGATACTACATACCTATTTAAGAAACAGCAACTACAATTATTAAGTCGTGGACCAATTTATGTGCCAATATGTCAGACGTATATTTCGGATTCGAATCAATCTATGCATGATATTGTCAAGAAACAATTTGCGCCATTAAATTATCAATTAGCTGGTTTATTTTCAAAACATAACATTCAATTTCCACTGCAAACGGAATTTCAACAGAAAATTTATCAAAAATTTGAAGAGTTATTTTCAACACCAATACCATCGTCTTTAAATCAGCGTGCTTACTATGAAAGGCAATTAATTCAATCCATTCAAAATTCCTTAAACAAAAATAATCTTATTTTACGACGGACTGCTAATAATATGAATACGTTCTATGTGGGCAACATGCAAGATTTCGAAGCAAAAGCCGACAAATTTATGGATAGATCGGAAGATTATATAGTTCTGTTCGATTTAGATGAAGAATTTAAGCAAAAACCATGGTATAATTCATTAAATGATATGATTGAATCAATGAATTCTTCCTTGGAAAAATTAAAAACAAATATATCTATCAAACATAATTCATACCAACAAATAGTGGCTGATCCCACTAAAGTCAAACTCCCATATTTGTATTTCTTACCCAATATTTCCAAAGTAATAAACCAATACCAGCTTTCTATTTAACTATTCCTCTTTGTATGTACACTAGGATAATACTAATATTTTATTAGTACCATTTATTGCTACAGACTACAGTGTGACATGGAATATTGGCAAGTACTTAAATCAATTATTGCGACCCATTGTTGATAATATTTTACGAGCAACAACATTCTATGATGAAGCTGATTTTATTCGAAAACTAAACCATTATGCTAATATAGAGCATCGTCTACGTTCAACAACAGTCTTGTGTACGATTACAATATCTAATTTTTATGCTTTGGATACCCATAAAAATATGCTCGATGTTGTTGATTATTTCTTAACAGATAATTTAGCATCTACCAAACTTGAAGCGCCAACAATTCCAACTATTCGAGATTTACTATATTTATTTCTTCATAATAATGTCTTTTATTATAAGAATAAAATCTATGCATTTACAAAAGGTAGTCCAAATACGATACCATTAACAGAAACATTATCAAATATTTATTTATTTGAGTGGCAAAAGAAAATACTGAAAGAAATAGATGAAAACATAGAATTCTCCGGAAGGTATTTTAGTCTATTATTCTTTTAATACCTAGAGATTTATTCGTTTATTTGATTGCACTCGAATTTTTCTAGATATAAAGATCAGATCTTCTTTACATGGAATAAATCAAGTGCATTAGAACTTGAAAGATTTATAGAAGATTTTCGAGAAAAACATCGAAATGTACGTTTTCAAAAATTAATCGGTACAACTGTACAATTTCTTAACGCTTACATTGAAAATCGACAAGGTCAATTATTTACTCGAGTTCATTATGATCCCAACATTCCACGTTACATATTGCCATATGTTATACGTCATGCAAAATCAGCTATCAGTGATTGGTTACGATCAGCTTTAATTCGTGCTGTATGTTATTGTACATCGGCTGATGATTTTCATCAAGAGCGAATTTATCTTGAATTAACTCTTCTGACTAGTGGTTATTCATTATTATTCGTTGAAACTCATGTTAAACATTTTTTCAATTATTTTCATGCTGAAACTATGCGGTTTTGGAGAAATCAAAAGGCCTATGATAAATTTCGTGGTCAATGGTTTAATTTCACACAAAATCGAGAGAAACTTTCAAAAGAACTTGAAAACTTTGATCATCATGGTGGTTTATTTCGCTTGAACTATATGTATGACTTTGGACCACGATTTCGATTCAATCGAGAATTTCATCGACTTTGGTGTGCATATTTTCAGCATCATCCAATTCTTTCAGAGAAAAACACAAAGATAATGCTAACAAGCCAAAATGTTTATTCATTAAATACCTTATTAGCTGCACCAAAATCACCTCATTTAAATCAACCATGATAATACTAGTAGCAGACACTAAGTGATACTTCTTACTATAGTATCAAACTTTGTTTTTTATGTTGTTTTTCTCATATATTGTTCTATATTTAATCTTCGTTTTGCTGACACGATCGTTTTCTCTTTTTATATGGTACGATATGTTAGAGTAGAACTGTTTTATGAAACATATTATGCTACCTCTGTTTGATTTCTTCTTTCCCCAACTAAATGTTTTTCTTCCTCACAGTAGGTTCGTTTCTGTTTCCTGTTATATATATATATATATCCGCTGAAAGCAATTTATCTTTAATCATGGATATTTTTGTTTTCTAGATGACGTCTTACGACGCTCTTTATTATGCAAGTTCAATTGTTTATTTGGTAGGTAGAAAAAGAAACCAGAATGACTATACCTAGTAAAAAAATATCCGTATATACTACAAAATACGATTTGAATAATACTTAAAGTGTATGACAACTGTTTAGTCTATTTAGTGATTATGTTATTTTTCCATTAACAGCTCAGCATCGCCGGTTTTGCTACATAATTAAAATTCAACAAGTAAGAAACACAATTACATATACTATTGACGCAGAAGAATATTATACTATGCTGATGCAATATCAATCCATTGTATTATTAATCGGAATAAATCATCTACCACATGCATCATCACTTATATTTCGATTATTACGATCACTTGCGAAAGTAGTTTTAAATCGGAGAAATAGTATTTTCTTTTTCATAGGGTGATGCCAAGAATAATTTTGAAAAGTTAACACTATAGGAGATTTTTCCCTTCTAAAATACTTCAATAAAAAAAACTTAAAAAATGTGCAGGAGAGATTTGAAAGTTGATAAAATATTGTATCCATAATTACGTAAATTAATCAACAATTTCAATTGCAAATAGTCTCTTCCAATGACTACAGCTTATACAGGGTGGCGCAAAAGTCACTTTACCCAAAAAAATTGAATATCTCCATTACGGTTCGAGCAAACGAGCTGATTTTTTTATCAGTGATAGAGGCATGTACCAAGTTTATATCCATAAAGATATGTCTAGGGAGACCCTTTGTTAAGTATCACTATTGACCTCAAGAAGAAAAAATTACTTTTTCACAGTTAAAAAAAAGGACACTTTGCCGAAAAAAATTGAATATATCCGCTATAGCTCGAGCTAACAAGCTGATTCTTTTATCAATGATAGAGGCATGTTCAAGCTGTATATCCATAAAGACATGCCTAGAGAAACCCTTTGTTAAGTATATTGTTTTCTATTCTATCTGTGAAAAAAGTAAAATTATTTTGTTGAGGTCATTAGTGATACTTTATAAATGCTCTCTCTAATCTTGTCCGTATGGATTTAAAGTGTGAACATGCTTCTATTATTGGTAAAAAATTCAGTCCGTTTGCTCGAGCCGTAGCGGAGATATTTAGTTTTTTCTTGCTATCGTCACTTTTGGGCCATATACAGGGTTGCCCCAAAGTCAGTTTACCAAAATAAAAATTGAATATCTCCATTACGGCTCGAGGAAACAAGTTGATTTTTTTACCAATAATAGAGGCATGTTCAAGCTTTATATCCATAAAGACATGCCTAGAGAGCCTCTTTGTTAAGTATCACTATTGATCTCAACAAAAAACGTTTTACTTTTTGACATATAGGAGAAAAAAACAATATACTTAACAAAGGGTTTCTCTAGGCATGTCTTTATGGATATAAACTTGGTACATGCCTCTATCACTGATAAAAAAATCAGCTCGTTTGCTCGAACCGTAATGGAAATATTCAATTTCTTTTGGGTAAAGTGACGTTTGCGCCACCCTGTACATATAGTGAATCCCTCGATAGACAGCGCACAAAATAGTCTATGGAGTAGAAATCCTGACATTGTTAATGGAAACAAAACTTTTCTGACATATCCCTATAAAAACTATGCTGTTCAACAAATAGTTGAATATGCCGTTAAGGACTCTTTAACGGTGACTAAAATACTATTGATATTAAGACACGATTAGATTCAAGCATAAGTAAAATCAACTAGTGATCTTGTCTTTCTACGATTTATGTTTTGATTTTCTTTAGATAAAAAGGGAAGAGATATACAATCTTTTTGTGATTGCTGTTATCATTCTTGGGAAGTTTCTAATTCCTTCTAGAACACATATTGCTCAGCATAGTTAATAAATAAAGAAACATGCTACTCTTCCACGGGAAGAATTGAATAAATTCTTTGGTATTATAAGTAAATTAAGAAATTTCACTGTTTTTATTTGATGTAGATATCATTTGAAAGTATCTGTTTCACTAATAAAAATGTCTCAATCGTCACAACTACCAGAAGGTTCTGCTGGTATCATATAGTCATGATTACGTTTGGTCTTTTTTTGAATTTTAATTTTTGATGCTCTTTAGATAACTCTAGTGTAACATTGGAGAGTAGTCATCAACTTACTCAATTAGTTATACAAGTAAACACAATAGGAGATTTGGGATTAGTTTAAGCTTGTTTTCTATGTTCATAATAGTCATCTCGATTATTGAGTGATGCTATGAGTACAACATGCACAGCTGAGGAATATGATGAGAAAGAGTTAAGTCAGCAACTTCGAACAACAGATGTGACAGTCAATTTATTTGATTGTATGAAGTGTTTTGTTAAAATTCCACGATGTAAAGTAAGGAGTTACGAGATAGATGGAGTAGTACTATAAGGATATTAATTGTTCCTAAATGATCCGTGTTTAGATTGAAGATCATATACCTAATTGCACTCCAAGTGCGCCAACAAATCTGGATTGTGTAATACAAGAATACCGAGAAGAACAAGAAGTAGCATCACATATGCAAACAAACCAAACGATATCAGATACTGTAAAACAAAAGGAAGAAGAAGATTATGGTGCATTAGATTATCTAGACGATAACAAATCCAATGAAAACTATGATTACTAATGATTTACTGTGACCACAAGCCACATAATGATACAGTAGAAATTGTTAACCTTTCTTACTTTCTCAGTTTTTTCCTTCAGTTGTTTTTTTCATATATACCTCGAATTTTTTTTGATGATCTATTCGTTCTGTACCGAACTTCCTGCATTTATTCGTGTTTTTTTTCAGACAAGTAGTTTTGTGTTTGTCACAAGGCAAATATATGAAACATATGCTTCCCTGTAATATTCATGAAGTCGTACAAAAGTTAATCGGAAAGTGAAACATTCGAAAAGGAATAGATTATCTGCTACGATTGCATATGTGTTTCTCTTCAGAAATCGATACCAGCATTAAACAAGAATCAAGTTTTTTCATTTCTCTCAGCAATATCACGGGAAGTAGATACGGTTATTAAACTTGAATGATATATAATCGAGCTAATATTCTGTGTTCCAATAAATTGTTCCTGTTGCATTTTTGTTCTCTTTTTATTATTTTTCATAAGTTCATGTAAAACTATGACATGCTTCGACAGAATAGGAGCTTGAAGTAGTTTTTCTGCTTTCTTTTCTAGATCTAACTCTATTAATTTCTGTCGACATTAAAACTGAATGGCACTAAGCAAAGATACTTGTAACAACGTTGATCCAAAAGATTTGTCCGAAGATACTCAAAGTCGTCGATATGAATTAGGTTCATCGGTACAAGCTTTTACCGAACAAGAAAAGAACTTGAATAATAATAAGAAGCAACAAAAGAAGAAAAAATGCCGCGGTAATCGAAAACAACAACACCAACGGCGAAGACTACGCCGTCAACAACAAAAACAGTATAATACTTCTGATCATCATATGGACCAAAGTGTTTTAATTGTGATAGATGATAATGACGATGATCCACAAGAAGATGAACAACAACAACAGATACGAGTATGTTAGCTGTATTTTTTTGAAACTAGAATGAATCTATCTCTCTACAAAAATATTTCTATTATATGTAGCAAGATACACACAACAATCAACATAGACCCAGTTTACAAAATAAGCGTAAACGGCAAGTAGCCAATCAAGGTGATATTCAAGTCAGTAGATCTTTTAGTCAATTATCTATATCACAACGAAATCCAAAGAAGACAAAGTCGACAACAGTAAATAGTTCAACAAACACCGAAGTACCAAATCTAGTTAGTAATGCTAATGAAAGTCCACAACAACAAGAAGATCAAATACAGGGAAGCGACAATGATTCATACTCAAATAAGTTTGTGAAAAAAATCAAACCAAGTTACTTGAAAGTTCCTGATAAGATATTTAAACGCATGTTATCCAATACAATAGAAGATGGCGATAAAACTATTCAGTGTTTGGATACTAATGAAAAGCTTCAGTTAGTTCGTGAAATGACTGAAACGACAAATAATTTATATTATTTCGATTTACAACATCAACTATGGAAAGATTATTTTGAGCTTGGCATGAAAGAAAATCAATGGGCACCACGAGTATCGAAATCTTTTGCAAAACAGCATTATACATGCCGCTCGTATGGTTTTCCTAAGCATATAGTTGAAGAACGTCTACAAACTATTGGACTACAATTTCAAAGTACAGTAAACGAATTACAGCAAAATTTAACACAATTAGAACAAAATGTTGAAAAGTGGCAGCCATCCATTCATCCTACTATTTTATCCAATGCTATAAATGAATGTGTCAAAGATGCACAACAACGATTAAGACAACAATTTGATTATAAAAGAAAAATGTTAGCATTAGATTCCAGTGATCGTAGTTTAATTACAAAATTTTATGAATTACAACCAAATAAAGAACAGGTTTGTTTACTTAAACATGAGATATATACACTTTGATATTCTGCTAATATTTAGGTATATTTAGCGAAACAGATATGGCAAACAACAGGAAATATTCTGAAAACAAGGGCAAAAGAAGAAATTATTCGTAAACGAATTTTCTTACGTCGATTACCAAGCCCATTCGATAAAATAATTAATCAATCTTTAGTCTATATCGAGCCGATGCTTGCAAATAGAGCTCTTGATACAGATCGACGCGCTAGTTTAGTATCGAGTTATTCGAAAGCAATTACACAATATAAATTCGATTTGATGACATTAAATCTTGACACTCTTCAAAGCGTAATACGTGGTCATCAACAATCATTGCATAGTTTGCAGAGTAAATTACCAGAATATTGCAATAAAGTGTTGATGCAAGCAATCGAAAATCGCCGTCAGGCAATGGAAAAACGTCATGATCTATATCTTAAACATAAATTGCATACTTTTTTCGACGAAGCTCCGACGACATCAAACGAATGAAGCGGTTTCGTCGTCGTCGGAGCAAATTGCCAATTTATACTAACATTACTGCTTCGTTACCATTTATTGAAGTCAATTTAAATTTAACTCCACAACAAATGTCTATGTTTATCAATGGTCTCAAATATATCATACCATGTCAAAGTCGATTTTCTCGTAAACCTGTCGAACAAATTGTTACTGATCAATATCGAAGTATATCAGCTACAGTAAAGAATTGCCTGAAAGATCATCGAACATCAACTGCAGATCAACGGGCAAACGAAGCGTTTCAAGCACTACAATCTATTTTACATGAACTACAGCAGAAAAAGTTATCAACAAAATTACGAAAACGGGCAATACACGAATATAGAATTGTACAAAGTATTCGAAGGCTTTTACACAACCGACCCGATATTGTTATACGTCGTACGGATAAAAGCAAAGTATTCTATATTGGTAGAGCAACTGATTTTATACGCAAAGCTGAAGAATATATGTTAAAAACGAATGCTTACCAAGAAATTATCCATGGTAGTTGTCCTCTATCAGGCATGCTACATGCTGTACAAACATTACTCTCAAGACTTGTGACACAGAAAGCTATAACCATCCAACAGCGTAATAAAATATCTCCAAAATTAGACCAATTAGAACTTGGTCATTATCATGGCCTACCGAAACCACATAAAGTGGGCGTACTTTAGTTAATTTTAAACCGAGTTTACATTGTTTTTCTTTCTATGTAGCCTGGTACACCACTAAGACCGATTATTGCATCGATTCATGCGCCATCAACATTGGTATCGAAATTTTTGAATGGTTTATTAGCACCTATATATTTGAATGTTGCTCGTGAAGCGACATTTATTAACGGTATCGATGTAATTAGAAAATTAGAAAAATACATTGCGACTGGTCATTTTCAAACCACAACAAAATTTATCGTAATTGATGTGACTGATCTTTACACAATGATACCACGAGAAGGTGCGTTACATGCATTGATACGATTTCTAGAAAAACATTCTCATCATGGAAAAATTGGTACATTACCGATTGATGCTATAATGAGAATGGCTCGTTTAATATTAGATACGAATTGTTTTGTTTATAACAATAAGTATTATAGACAAATACGTGGCGGTGCTATGGGTTCAGCATTTACACAAGTGCTTGCTAATATCTATATGTATGAATGGGAGGAAGATTTAATTCAATATCAAGCAGCACACAATGGAATATATGGAAGGCTAGTAAAACAGTTATAACATGAGACAGATTGACTTAACTGATATGAATCTTTTGTAGATATATCGATGACATCTTCATAGCAAGTAATCAAGACACAGATGCAATTAAAATAGAATTTGAAAAAGCAGCCATAAAAGATAGTAATATCAAAATTAACTATGAAGTCAGTACATCAGTTAACTTTCTGGATCTTACTATAACCAATGTGGATGGGCAATTAAAAACGTGTCTCTATCACAAAATAACCACTGAGCCATATATATTACCATACACATCCGATCATCCACGACATGTTCATCGCAACATACCATTTGCTGCTTTATTACGTGCTGCTCGTATTTGTTCCGATGTGCATGATTTCAACAGAGAACGTATTCGTATTGATATCTCATTATTGTTAAACAACTATCCACCTGATTTTATAAGCAAACAATTTAGTCGGTTCCTCAAAAGGAACAATGCCATACCTGTTTCAAATGAATTGAATTCTAAAGTCTATCATCGGCTTCATCAGCAATTATTGTATCAACCGACACGACGTGAACAGCAGCTTAAAGCTATGACACAAGATCCGATCCGATCACCCACAGTATTGCAACAGAAAATATGGGATGCCAGCATAATGTATCCACGTTATCTCTTCGACAGTTCCACATCTGCTGAGTTTCGGAAACAATTTTACAAATGGTGGAAACTTACTATGCAAATGGCGCATCTCCTTCGCCGCACGTTAAAGTTCGACTAGTAGCTGCTACAAACCAAACACTTGAGACATTCTTCATACATAAAAAGCCACCAAAACAAATTCTGACACGTATGGAATAAGGCTAAACATCAACTCTTCTCGTCCACTCACAACGGTATACAAAATGTACGAAAACATCAATAAAAATATTCTTTTGATTACAAAAACATCATTCTATATGCTCTTAAAGATTTATCAAAAAAAAATACTTATTCAAGTTCCGATACACTCTGAAATTAGATTGGTGGCGAATTTTATGGCGATATCATAGCATAGGCAGCAGAGCCACTAGGCCTGGGAAGGCACCAGTCTCCACTATGTTGGAGCGGTAGAGACTTGAGTAGGCTCGATTTATTGCATGAGTTTTCTAAAATCGGTTAATTTTCATTTTTTTCTCCGACAGATGATGCCTTATCAAAAGGTCAGTCCGAATTTAATCTGTTGCAAACTCATGTATATATATACAATGTTCAGTGTTTATGTGTTTCTCTGTCCAAGGCAAAGGTTAAAGATCAAAAAGGGCTATACGAGCTGCTCTATCGTGACATCCATAGGTTCTTTTAAAAGCTATTATATAATGATACTTATAAATCCTCGAGGGCGTTACATGACGAAAAGCATAATTCTCACGAGCTGCTTTTATGGAGGCAATCATAGGTTCTCAAGGGTTATTATATGGAAGTATCCGCAAATCCGAAAGGTCTACCCTAAAAATAACCATAAGCCTCCTCAAGGATTATCATCGGAAGGTATCGGTAGGTCCTCAAGCGATATTATATGGTAGTACCCTTAGGCCCTGAAGCGCCTTCTTACGCGGCGCATAAAGGTTCTCAAGGGCTATTATATTGGAGCGCCCATAAGCCCTAAAGCAAGTAAGACAATCTATAGATAGAATGTTCAGTGTGCATGTGTTTCTTTGTCTCGAGTGAAAGTTTGCAGATCCAATAAGGCGATAAACGAGTAAGACTTCAAAGAAGAAAGAGAATAAGGAATTAAGATCACATAAGGATAAGACTATAACGTGGCAAGGATATAAGCGGAGACAGTATAGGGAGTGGACGCTATAAAGAATTATGGCCATAAGGGGATACGACTATAAAGTGGTAACGCTACAAGGCCACAGAAGTATAAGACAGTAGGATAACAAGAAAGTACCTAAGGGGGACATAAGACAACAGAGCATCAGGCCATAAGGGAATACGACTATAAGGTGGCAAGGCTACAAAAGGATAAACTAGAAGGAAAAAGCATACCTCAAGAATTCAAGACTTCAAAAGACTTCAATGGGCTTCATCCATAGCGACTTCATCTCTTCACAGGGATTCTGTGGACCTCTGAGCCCTTCAAATGACTTCACAGGAATTCAAAAGACTTCACATGTCTTGACCGGACTTGATAAAACTTAAAAAAAACCTTCCTATGACTGCGCAAGAGTTCACAAGACTTCAGAGATCTTCGATAAGAAGGTTACATGTTTCCAAAAACTAAAGAGAAATTACATGAAAAATATCTAACACGCAAAAAAATAATGATTACTCCATAAAACCTACAGAATCTTCATCTTTCCCACAATTGTTTCTCGCATAAAACGGACACTTAGAATACAAAGGTGCCAATGACACAAAGCGCTGATGCGGTGAAACTTGAAAAATATTTACTGGTATGCCGGTATTCCATTACACTAACCGGCGAATGACCTATCCCGAATTTCCACTGCAAATAAAAAACAAGACTAGTTTGTACAACCGCAAACCGTTTCTTCATGATACACCGACACAGGTAGCCTTTTTATGTTCATACACCTTAAGGACTGATATGAACACACAAAAGCCAAAAATAAAGTGTAATGAAAAACGTCACATTCCATATATGCAAAGTAAATAAAAAAAAATATCATCAAACCACAGTCCAGCTAACAGCGATCATACTTTAGCAGAAAAATCATCCTTCAAGTTTTCCCCAAAAATAACGCTAAGAAAAACCCAACCGACCCCACTGAGGCGCCCAAAACCAATCCGAAACATCAACACTATTTCACAACCATCCTTTGAACATTCACAGATTGCATGGGTATCAAAAACAGCACACCGACTCAAGAAAACACGCTTTCAAACACATGAGACTCCAATTCACTTCCAAAAAACTTCCTGATACACATTAAACCTCAATCAAAACACAGTTGAACTAATAAACTATTCAAAATGCCACCGAATCCCAACAATACCTACTCACACCACTTCACAGTAACCGATCAGCAACATTCTACATTCATTTCAACTGGGCACAAACTTAAACTAATGCAGGAAATTGAAATTCCGAATTTGTTTGATGAGTCCCTTGAGCAAGGACGAAACCGGTCGTAAGTTTGCTTGGAATTTCTTCCAATTTCAACACACCTTTCATAAGACTACTGCGTCCAATTAAGCTTCATCTCAGCACTGGGTCAATGTTGAGGGTCATTGACTCTTATAATCATCCAAATGTTTGAGATTTAACTTAAACTAATGCAGGAAATTGAAATTCCGAATTTGCCTGATGAGTCCCTTGAGCAAGGACGAAACCGGTCGTAAGTTTGCTTGGAATTTCTTGCAATTTCAACACACTCACACCCACACCCACACCTACACCCACACCCTCACACCCACACCCACACACCCACACCCACACCCACACCCACACCCACACCCACACCCACACCCACACCCACACCC